GACATCGGGACTGGCAGAGCGTGCTGCTCCAGAGGGTTTCCAAGGCTGTGGATCTTACTGGACCAGGTGGCCGCATATGTCCCCTGCAGATGGCTGTGGATTCTGTCTGCAGCCCAGTGCTTCACCAACTGTACCTGCAGGGCTTTTATCCAAGGCTGAGAGTCCACGTCTTCTCTCACTACTTCCTCGCTGTTCGACCAGGAGGCCCCTCAAGCCATGCAATTCAGGCTGCTCACCTGGGCCTCATCCGCATCCAGGCACATGACCCACCACGGGGCGCCCCAGCGAGTGGTCAGATTCTAATTCTCCAGAAGCCCTTGCAGGTTGTTGCCCAGTATTCCTAACATGTTGGTCGCATCACTTATTTCATCTCGTCAAAAGCTCAGTGGAACAGGCTGCCCCTGTTCAGTGATTCTCCACCTTCCTAATGCTGCAACCCTTTAATACAGCTCCTCATGTTGTGGGGCCCCTCCAACCATAAAATTGTTTTCGTTGCTACGTCATAACTGTCATTTTGCTACTGTTATGAATTAGGCAACCCCTGTGAAAGGGTCGTTCACTCCCCCCCAGGCCCCCAAGGTGGTCGTGACCCACAGATTGAGAACCCCTGCCCTAGATGGTGTAGGAATGAGCTCCATCCCTAATCTGTTTAAGTTACATTTGTACCTAAGTCAAAACTGTTAGGTTCACTTCATATCTAACATCCATCAAATGTTTGACCTGGTAATACAGTGTATTCTCTCTGCATTAAAGAAACATTTCCAGGTACACTAAAACATCTTTAACATTCAGAAAACTCCCTGCCATCAAGTGATTCTCCCTCGGAGCGGCTGCTGGTTTTGAACCCATCCCATAACCCACTACATCACCAGTACTGCACAAATGTAACACATTCGTGCAGTAATAATACACGTGCATTTAAAAGTAGCGGCCATTCATTGTGGTGAACCACTGTGTGTATGTTGAATTGTTGGTAAATAAGCGTGGTGTTGGGGCAGGGTTAGTTTGTAACTATAGGTGGTAGGAAGTCAGATACTACCTGTGGTATAAAACTCACACTCCTGAGATTAGCACTTAAAGCTTTTGAGGGCTTGCCTCAACTTACCTGAGCAATGTCAGAACACCCGGTTGGAAAATACTCAATCGGCAGCCCCAGATCAGGCAGTGTTGGCGTTCAGGATGACTGGTCAGTAGAGGCATGGCAAAACCGTGGCAGGGAGCCTCTTACACAGACCGCGCTGCCTGCAATCAAACACAGCAAGCAGGGAGGGGGAGGGACGAGCGAGATAGAGCCAGCCCGTGCGTGCGTGCGTGGGAGCACGGAGGGTTTACTCCGGCTTTTCAGGCTGCCCTCCACGGACCTCATCTTCAGCGAGGCGGATCTCAGGCAGTGCGTGGTCACAAACGAGTGCTGCCTCCTGTGTGGTTGTTTTGCTGTAGAGCCCTCTCACCTCCCACTACCAGCAAGCTTGCCAGCAAGCGCCTGGCCTGCGTCCTATGTCTGCTGCACTCGCTTGCCCCAAGTAGGAAGGGGATGTTGGGAGCCCATCCGAATTGAATTGACCTTTGGAATGCAGGTGTCACAGCTCTGTGGGGGCCAGATAGTGTCGCATCCCCCATCGGTGGGGAGACACCAGCTCTGCCGCCCGCCCAGTAGGCACTGGGAAATACTGGCAAGCCATGCTTTACAAGCCGCTGTGGGCAGGTGATGATGACTACAGAGAGAAATGCCACTTCCTTTCCAAACAAATTCTGGCTTCGTTTCTAAATCAAGAGACTTCCCTTTTGCTTATCTTTTTGAACTTTCTGGTTGGTTGGTTTGTTTTTGCCCTTAAAAGAGCCCTTCAGCTACAGCAGCCTGCAATGGAGGCAAGATGGGAGTCCTATTCCCTGAAAGCTAGGCCTCTCTGCCCATGCTCCATGCCCATCCCGGACCCCGGCCCACGTAGGGGCCAACCTTGCAGTCTGGCATCAGCCTGGCCCTGAGCCATCACACGGCGTCGGGCCACCAAGGCTTGCTCACTGAGTCAGCCGTCCCCAAAGCAGCGTGGCAGCCGGAGCCTGTGCGCTGACTCTGACTCACACGGGGTCCTTTCCCAGACACCCATGATCAGCACCTGAAGGTGTCTGAGATAAGTGAACCTCTGCTTGTCCTCGGGCACTCAGGGTGGGGCCCATGGTGGGTGTGTGCCAGCCTGCCTGAGGGGGTCGGGCTGCAGGCCAGGGTCGGAGCCTCCCCCTTTCCTCAGACACACCCAGACACACACACACACACACATGCAGATTCTCAGAGATTTTCAGCACATGCACATGGAGATTCTCAACACACAGTCTCCTCAACACACACACGCAGAGATTCTCAGCGTCCCGGGGGGCCAGTCAATGGTCGTGACTAGCATGGAGGGCTCTCAGTCCCAAGGCAACATTGAGGGGAAGACGTACAACTGCAAGGAGATGTGACTTAGGGTTTTCTTCACGCACAGGCTCATTACTGCTCACCTGTCAACCACAACCGAGCTGACAGAATGCCGACTGTAGGTGCTTCAGTCCGTGCTGCCCTCAATCCCTCTGCACCGCCCACTCCCCCACCCTGTGGGGTTCACCACGACGGTGACACAGGCACTGTGAGTGTGGGGGTCAGACCAGAGTCCCCACCACCACCACACACACACACACAATGCGGGGATTCTCTCAGTAGGTTCCCAGTGCAATTCCGAGAACATTGTCCTGCAAGCAGCTCTGAGACAAGACAAGCAAACATGAGAGATTCTTCATGTTGCGCCCAAGCCAGCCTCCGAGGAGAGTGCCCCGGGGGTGCCCAGGGGAGTCCATGCGGAAGAAGAGGAACATTTACAGACCGGCTATGACCCAGCATTCCAATGAGACTGCCACAAAACCAAACTCGCTGCCACTGAGTCAATTCTGACTGAGCAACCCCACAGGCCAGAGCAAGGAATTCCCCTGTGAGTTTCTGAAACTAGACACCTGCTCGGGGGCAGAAAGCCTCGTCTTCCTCCCTTGGATTGGGTGGTGACTTCAGATGGCTTACCTTGGTGTTAACCGCCCAACACAACCCATGGTGCCACCAGGGCTTGAAAACCTCCGTAGAAATTGGGTGGGCGGCGGAGGGGGGGCAGTCAGGGAGAAGATTATACAGTAGGAAGATTTTTAAAGAGGAGATCTTTTTTAAAAAAGAATGGAATTGAATGTGTTTCGTTGGTCTAAGACGGTAACCATGAGGAGCCCTGGCAGCATAGTCTTACATGTTGGGCTGCTAACCACAAGGCTGGCAGTTGAAAGCCACCAGCCGCTCCAGGGAGAACGAAGGGGCTTTCTCCTCCTGTGAGTAGTTCGGGTCTCCCAAACTCGCGGGGGCAGCACTCCCTTGGTCACGATGAGTCCCCATGGACCCAAAGTGGTGAGTTGGCGTTTAGGAAGGCGAGCCTAGGAACCTGACAATGATGCTGTGGGTTTGGTTAAGAAGGGAACCTCTGACATTTTGAGGTTGCTAAAATCCACAAATTTGACTAGAGTCTATGAAACTATAAAACGAACCATAGCAAAAATTAGCCAAGTACAACATCAGGAAATTTTTTAATCAAACGCGACAGTAATTTGCCCTAGAAAAGGACAAACCCCAAATCCCCAAACCAGTTGCTGCCGAGTGGATTCCAGCTCATCCGCACTCAAGAGCCAGCCCAGAGTAGAGCTTCCGCCTTGAGTGCACAGGGCTGACTTTTTCTATAGCTGACTGACAGGTTTTTCCCCTGTGGGGGGTTCAATGTGCAGCCGAGCACTTAACCACTGTGCCATCAGGGCGCCTCATAAATAGTTCATACAAGTTAATAAGATGTGATTATAATAGAGGAAGGCGTGAAGGACATTGCTTAGACAGCTCACAT